GGGCCGGGGCATGGCTGGCTGGGGAACTCCAAAAGGGAACAGCGCCCCATGGAGCTGGTGTCTGGACGCTCAGAGGAGCCAGGCCTGGGCTGGCTGAATGGTCAGGCACACAGCGACAGCAGGACTTTGTCAGGGATGGGAGCAGGGGGCCTACCTGGTCGCATGCAGCCACCTAGGGCCCTAGGCAGAGTGGCCCCTGTCCACCCTCGGGCAGCAGAGCGACAACTGTCCGTCCTTGGGCACAGATGCACCATGGCACATTGATGCAACGTCTTCAGGCTTGCTGGGCACCCAGGACTCAAAATGCAGTGAGATGGCTGGGGGCAGCCAGAGGAGTGGGCACCGCGTGCAGAAGCAAGCCCGGGAGGGTGCTCCCCAGGGCTGAGGGGGCAGGGTTCATGTGCACGTGCAGGTGAGGCCGGGGGTCCCAGCGTGTTGGCTCAAGCTTCAGCGAGGCCCAGAGGAAGGACACTCATTGAGGGGATTCTCCAAGGGCCCAATGCTGCATGAGAAGCCGGCCAGTGGGGCACAGGGACTAGGACCCCCCACACAGGGAGAGGGGCCAGGACACTGTGACAGGCACGGACCCCCTGACGGTGCCTGGGCCTCCTGGGTGACTGGCCTGGGTGGGCCGCTCGAGGCAAAGGTATAACTCCTCCAAACCCGTGTTCCCGGCAGGCGCCCAGCCGGCAATGAATGGCGCACACAACAGCCAGACAAAGATGAATGGGGCACTCAGAGCTGTGAGCCCAGTGGGCCAGAGAAGCTAAGCCACAGGAACGAGGCCGCGGCCCCAGGCCCGGGCCCAGCCCACAGGCCTACGTGCGGCATGGCCATGGGGTTCGGTGGCCTCACCCGTGAGGAACAGGCTGTCCGCTGTAGGATAGAGCCCCCATCCTGGCCAGCAGATGTGGAAAGAGGCCCGCAACGGGTTTAGCTGACCGGGCTCTGTTGCTCAGCTATTCCCATGAATGATGCCAAGACACGGCGGGGTCCTGGCTGGACAAAGTGGGGGCCCAGGCCAGGGTACAGGGGAGGCAGGCCCTGGCCATGGGGTCCCTGCAGCCCTGGGAAGCTATAGCTGCAAGCCTGCAAACTGGTTCCACAACAGAAGGCCCCAACCAGGCAGGGAACAGATGTGACCACCTATCGCTCAAGTGCCCGGGACACTCCTGACACCCCAGGCGTGGGGTCCGCAGCCCCAGAAGCCCAGACGCAGACCTCTGAGCACTGGGGGCCACAACTGGGAGACCAGCACTGCTGACAGCCAGAAGGCAAAATGCAGGCTCCTACGTGTCCTGTGTCAGCAGTAAGCAACCTCACGTGTCCAGGTGTTAGGGTTCTGTCGGCGCCCAGATGTTAGGGTGCAGTCTCCCCGAGTGCCCAGATGTTAGGGTGCAGTCTCCCCGAGTGCCCAGATGTTAGAGTGCAGTCTCCCCGAGTGCCCAGATGTTAGGGTGCAGTCTCCCCGAGTGCCCAGATGTTAGGGTGCAGTCTGCCTGAGTGCCCAGATGTTAGGGTGCAGTCTCCCCGAGTGACCAGATGTTAGGGTGCAGTCTCCCCGAGTGACCAGATGTTAGGGTGCAGTCTGCCCGAGTGCCCAGATGTTAGGGTGCAGTCTGCCTGAGTGCCCAGATGTTAGGGTGCAGTCTGCCCGAGTGCCCAGATGTTAGGGTGCAGTCTGCCTGGGTGCCCAGATGTTAGGGTGCAGTCTGCCCGGGTGCCCAGATGTTAGGGTGCAGTCTGCCCGGGTGCCCAGATGTTAGGGTGCAGTCTGCCTGGGTGCCCAGATGTTAGGGTGCAGTCTCTCCGAGTGCCCAGATGTTAGGGTGCAGTCTGCCTGGGTGCCCAGATGTTAGGGTGCAGTCTGCCTGAGCACCCAGATGTTAGGGTGCAGTCTGCCTGGGTGCCCAGATGTTAGGGTGCAGTCTGCCTGGGTGCCCAGATGTTAGGGTGCAGTCTGCCTGGGTGTCCAGCTCCCTACACTACAAAGGATCCTGGCCAGCACCCTCGGCCGCGCAGGCCCCAGCTGTGAGGGGCTCTGGGCTGGGGTCGCACTGAGGCTGGCAGGGTCGGGTGTGTGCATGCTGACCCAGCACACCTCATGTTCCTACGCCAGCAGCCCCCGCCAGTCTCACCCTCTCCCACCCAGCCTGGCCGCCCCTTCCAACCTCAAACATCCCCCTGGCGACCTCAGAGGAGACTCCGGGCCAGGAGCCCCGCCAGGGTGTCCATAAAGCGGGCGGCAGCCAAGCCGCTGTCTCGGGGCCAGGGGCTGGCCAGGGGCTGCTGTTCTGTTTGTTTTTCCCCCTTCCTGCCTGGAACCTCAGACGCCAGCCCACCAGTGGGGCCCTCTTCCCCGGCAGGCACAAAGCCCCTACACAGCCCCACAGCCACGTGGCCTCTCTGGTGCTCCAGCGCCTGCGGCCCAGGGTTCTGCTCTTGTCTATGGAAGTGCTGGGAAGCACCCACTATGCAGGGGGCCCCAGGAGCATCAGGTGCACACCCCAGGGGGGCCCCAAGCATCCTGGGAACGTGGGCGGCCTCTCCTCAAGGGGGTGAGACCGGTTCTTCTGTTAAGTATTAACCAGCTCCCGGCAGGCCAGCCCCGACGGCAGATAAGGTGCACCCAGGCCAGGGAGGTTACTTGGAGCTAGCCAGGGTGACCAGCCAGGCCAGAATGAGGGGTCCCAGTGGAAGCCCCTGTTCACAGGAAACCAAGAACCCCAGGGGTTTGACCAACCCAGGGGGCCACAAAGTCACGACAGACTGACTCCCCAAAGCCAGAGTGGCCAGTGGCCGGCAGGCCTGATGGCCCCAGGGGAGGACCACCCAAAGCTGGCTGGGGCTACCTCGTGCCACAGCGTCCCGCACAACCCCTGCCCACTTCCCACTGCGGTCTGTGGCCTGGTGTGCCGGGCAGCAGCCACACACCGCCTTCTCTAAGGAGCCGTCCACTCACACGGGTACTCCCAGTGTGTGCAGATCCTCCCGTGGCCAACCAGGGGCCTGGCATCCCCTTTGGCAAATCCTGGCAAGGCTCAGGACACCCCCAGCCGCAGGGCGACCCCAGCGGCTAGACCTCCAGAGACCTTCCTCCCCAGGGAGGTGCCCAGCAGCTCTGGCCATGAGGCGGGGCTGCCTGAAGCCCAGCCTCCCATATTCCTTGCCAATCCTCGAGGCAGGCGCCATCCCGCAGGTGCAGCGGCCCCAGGGGCCGAGGAGACAGCAGGCAACAGGTGAGGCTGCCGTAGGCCTGGGGAAGCCCGTGGATGCTGACTCCGGGGGGTGTGGGGTCAGGAAGAATCTGCAGGCCTGGGCCCTGCCCGTGGGCGCTGGGGCTCCCGGATGCCCTGAGGCACAGGATGGTGACACCACAAACCCCAGGACCCGGGTACCAAAGAGGACTGCCTGGAGGTTGTGGGACTGACACGAGGGAAGCAGAATAGGGGCTTGGAGGGGTGCCCTTGGCAGGCACATTTAAGAAGGCTCCGTCCCTGTTCGGGGGTGGCCAAAGGCAATCCAAGGAGAGCAGGAACTGTGGGGAACAGGCAGCTGCCCAGGCTGCCCCTGGCTGCCCCTGGCCAGAGGGCATGAGAAGATCCCTGGGGCAGTTGAGAGGGACTCGAGTGTGGCCTCCCTGGAGTTCCTCTCACGAGTTCCCACCTGGGTGTGGACCCAGGAGCCAGGCTGCCTGCTGGACAAGGCTGGGCTGCTGGTGGGCCGAAGCAGCAGAGCAGACAGCGCCACCTGGTGGCCATGTGCCTGCCTGCACCTTCACCACCGTGGGGACCCGGAGGTCCTGAGGGACCCTGAGCCTTCCTGGTGCCCTGGGAGCCCCCCACGTGCTCCGGGGGTGCTCCAGGGGTGCTCTGGGGGTGCTCTGTGTACACCTTCACCAAGCCGTGCCTTCCACATCCCTTTTCTATCTGGCTCACCTGTCCTACATGGCCAAGCTGGCGTCAGTGCAGCCCGCTGGAGCTCCCAGCCCGGGTCTACCCCAACCCCGGGGAGGAGGGGGACGTGGGGACGGTGATGCCCACCTCATGGGGACACGTGGGAGGCTGAACCCTGCGGCCTTGTCTGCAGCTTGGCCCCTCTCTGCTGCAGCCCCCCTCTGAGCTGGAGGCCCGGGGACGCACGGTGATAAGAAGTGCAGAACCACCTCAGTGCTAGGGGCCCTGGTGCACTGTGCAGGGCAGGGAGGGGTCTCGGGGTCCCCCATGCCCTGCACCAGCCTGAGAGCTGCTGAAGCAGGGGCATCTGGCATTCATTGCAGTCCCCCCCGAACCCGCCCTGCCAGGCTTCTAAGCCCAGGCTAGCCATAGCACAGGCTGGCCTGGAGGGCGGCCCTGCTAGGTCATCCACACACCCCTGACCCCAGGCCCTGAGTAGGTGGGGTGCAGGGAGGGGCCCAGGCAGCAGGACCGGCACCACCCTTGGGGTGGGGGTGTATGGAGGCAGGCAGGCGAGCCTGGGCGGCCTGACTCAGCTGCAAGGAATGTTCCTGCCGCTCCCAGCTACACCTCAGCCCTTCCCGCCCCCGCGGTGCTCTGCCAGCGGCACACGCTCCACCGGGGCTTGCCTGAACCAGCTCCCACGGCCGCCCATGGCTGAGCGCTCCCCTCCCCCCACCGCCCCACAGAGTCCCCCCTTGTCACCGCAGGGGCTGTGACCACACCCACCCGTGCATGCCCTGACATGCTGGCTGTGGTGGGCAGCCATACTGAGCTGAGACCCCCAGCCCTCAGCCCGGGCAAGGCAGAGAGGGAGGGTGGCTCTATGTGTGAGTCCAGGGAGCAGGCCTGGCCTGCTTGGCGGGCCGGGGTGGCCAGTGCACAGTGCCTCCCTCCCCCACCTCCCAGAGTTGGGCTTTGCCCCTGTCCCCTGCCCCTCCACTCCCCGTCCCAGGCAGCCCTGGACAGGGTCCTGAGGCATCCTCTCCCACCCCCCACCCCCTGCCCAGGTGACTGGGCCTCCCTGGCCAGCAGGGCAGGAAGATGGGGCTCCCAGGAGAGCCCTCCGGGGCCCCAACCACAGCCGGCACCACCATGGCCGTGCCGGGGCTGGCTCCAGATCTCATCGCCACACTGCACTGTGAGTGGTGAGACAGCTCCCGGGGGGCGGGCTGGGCCGTGGCCGTGGCTGCCCACAGACCCCTCTCTGTGCCCCCAGGGCCCCGCTGGGCTCTCATTGTCTTTGCTGTTGCGGCTGGGGCCCTCCTGCTCTGCTGCGCCGTCTGCTGCTGCCGCTGTCGCCACCACAGAAAGAAGTCACGGGACAAGGAAACCGTGGGCCTAGGCAGCGCCCACAGCATCACCACCACCCACCTGGTGAGGAGTGGCCCCAGCCTGCTCTGTCCAGGGTGGGCACCCAGCCCCTGGGGAGGGGATCCCAGCAGTGGAGACACGGGGAAGGCAGTTGGCTGTGCAGGCCAGGTATACTGAGACAGCGACACACCGTGGCTGGTGTGGGCGTGGCCTGCTGACCCGAGTCCCATCCCTGCCCACTGCAGGTGCAGCCACAAGTGGACGACCTGGAGCCGGGTACTGCCAGGCAGTGGGGGCGCCTGCAACTCTCCCTGGAGTATGACTCAGGGACCCAGCAGGTGGGCTGCTGGCACATTGTGGAGAGTGCTGGCGGAGTAGGTCCCAGGGAGCCCTTCCTGGGCTAAGCTCACCTTGCCAACTCCTAGATCAAGGTGGGCCTGAGGCAGGCCACCGAGCTGAGGGCAGCGGGCACAGTGGACTGCTATGCCCGCGCCAGTGTCTCCACGCAGCCGGGACACAGACACGAGACCAAGGTGCACCGGGACACACTCAGTCCTCAGTTTGATGAGACCTGTTGCTTTCATGTGAGTGTGCAGTGGGCCGGGCAGGGCAGGGCGTCAGGGGCAGCTGGCGCCTCACGGCCTTGCCCGCCGTACGCAGGTGCCCCGCACGGAGCTGCCCCAGGCCACACTGCTGGTCCAGCTACTGCACTTCAAGCGCTTTTCAGAGCATGAGCTGTTGGGCGAGCTCCAGCTGCCGCTGGGCACCCAGGATCTACAGCACGTGCTGGAGCGCTGGCACCCGCTGGGCCCGCCAGGCAGCGCCCAGGTGAGGCTCCTGCCAAGGATGCTGCAGGCTGAGGGTAGGGGCGGCGGCTGGCCTTTCTGAAGCTTCTGTTGTCGCTGTCACCGCAGTCCGAGCAGGTTGGGGAGCTGTGCTGCTCCCTGCAGTATGTGCCGGGCTCGGGCCGGCTCACCGTGGTGGTGCTGGAGGCCCGAGGGCTGAGTACCAGCCAGGCAGGTGAGCCCCCCGTGCAGCCCCCATCATCTACGCTCCCCACCCGCCACGGGGACAGAGAGGGTGGGGGTGGGCTCCGTGCTCGGCCTGCACACCCGAGGCCCTGTTGCCCGCCCAGAGAGCTTTGTGAAGGTGCAGCTGGTCCTGGAGCAGAGGAAGTGGATGAAGGCCAAGACCTCAGCCAGGAAGGGCACAGCTGCCCCATACTTCAACGAAGCCTTCACCTTCGCCGTGCCCTTCAGCCGGGTCCAGGTGGGCACAAAGCAGGGGGCAGGCCAGACTGGGCATGGGCCACCCAGACCGACCTGAATCTCTGCCCCCTCTTTCTCTCTCTTGCTCCTCCGTGGACCCTGTGCTGGCTCCACCCAGAACGTGGACCTGGTGCTGGCTGTCTGGGCCCGTGGCCTGCACTTCCGGACTGAACCGGTGGGCAAAGTGTGGCTGGGTGCACGAGCTTCGGGCCAGCAGCTGCAGCACTGGGCGGACATGCTGGCCCATCCCCGGCGGCCCGTGGCCCAGTGGCACCGGCTGCAGCCCGCCCCCGAGGTAGACCGAGCTCTGGCCCTGCAGCCGCGCCTGCGCCTGTCCCGACCTCGACCCTGAGCCCCAGCCTTGCCCCCCATGCCCATCTCCAGGCCCACCCCCAAATAAACGCCTCTCCCTGCCCCGCGTGTGCTGCTCCCAATCGCAAGGACAAGAGAGGGAGGGTCTGGAGCAGTGGGCATCGTGGGTGGGGACACTTTGTAGGGAGATAGCTCAGGGAGGGGACCGCTGGCGGCCGGGGCTCCTCGTGTGCGAGCAGCAGGGGGCAGTAGGCATCTTTGGAAGCCGCGGGGGGCCCCTGGGGGCTCAGCTGCAACCCGGAGGCGATCTTAATCCCCTGCACATCTGGACGGCTTTAGTGCCCCCAGATCCTCCCACGTCACTGTGTCATTGCTCTTGCCCCGAGGGGCCCGGGCAGGGGGCCCTGGCAGAGTGGGGAGGGCCCGGGCGGGGGGCCCTGGCAGAGTGGGGAGGGCCCGGGCGGGGGGCCCTGGCAGAGTGGGGAGGGCCTGGGCGGCCCCGAGCCAAATGGGTCACACAGCAGTTCTCAGGGCGGAGGTGACATTCCGCGCTTGGCTGACAGGTTCCGGGCTGCCCGGGTGAAGCTGCCGGCGGGCTGGGTGTGTGCAGGCCGGGAGGGGCCCAGGGTGCCCACCTCCCACCCCTGCCCCCTCCCCGGGTGGGAGAACAGGCTCATGGCCCCCTTCCCCAGCCCCAGGCAGTTGGCTGCTGCGTGCGGGGACCCAGGCCTCAACCCGGGGCGTGGTGTGCGTGCAGGAGAGGACCTCAGCCCTCGCCCACGGGGGTACCAGTCTGCAACTGGCGCCGGTGGGTGAGGGGAGGGTCTGGGGGGGGGGTGGCTAGAGGCCCAGCCAGAAGTGAACTTTTCACCCCAGCTTGGACGAGCTGCGCCAATTCAGCCAAGGCCTCGTGGGCAGCCTCAGGACCCCCAGATAGTGTCCTGGGCTAGCCTGCCGTCCCCCAGGCTCCTTGCAAGGGCAGGGACGGCGTCTCGTCACTGAGCCCTGAATAGAACACCCCCTCCCCCCCGGCCAGCCAAGACTTCTTGGATGGGGCTGGCAGCACGCGGCCGGGCCGGACAGCGGGGAGGTCTCCGGGCTCTCTCAGCCCCCATTGGTCTGAGGAAGACTCTGTGTCCTTTCCGAGCAGGGGCCCAGCCCCGAGCAATGCATTTATACCCCTCCCCTGGGCCCACCAGCCCAGCGCACTACCACGAATCCACCCTTGCTACCCAGTCTGCTCCAGTCGCTAGGTGAGGCCCTGCCCAGCCGCAAGGCCCAGGGACAGGGCACTGCCCCAGCGGGCAAGCTGGCAGCAGTGCGACCTCCCAGGGTGGGGGCCAGGGGGCCAGGGGGCTCTGGCGGCGAGTGGGAGGGACAAGGAGGGCGTGCTGGGGAGGTGACCAGGATGGGGCCTGGGGCCTGGATGGGCTCTTTGTTGACCAGCTCTCTATTCTGGGGACCCCGGGGGTGTGAGGGTGTACCTGTTCCCCAAGACCCCAGGACCCTAGCCGGGGACACGCTGGTGTTTGGCGGGGGCCGGGGAGGTGCTGTTGTATCTCCTGTATGTGCTTGGGTTGCAAGTCAATGGAGCAGAGTTAAAAATAGCATGCGGCCGGGGCAGCCACCTGCGCTGGCCCATCCTTGTCCCCGCCCCGGGACAGCTGCAGCTCCTTGGCACCCCCCTCTCCAACATGGGCCATCTGGGAACATGTTCTCTGGGTCCTGGCTCCCAGGAACCCCAACTCGGCTTCCCCCAAAGAGGCTGCAGAGGGGCAGCGACAGGCCGCATGCCACTGGCCGCCCTTGACACTTGGCTTCTCTGTTCTTACAGGCTCTAGGCCCGAGACCACAGGATGGGAGAGTAAGTGCTACCCAGCTCGGGGGCCCGCCGCCACTGCCCACACCTCACCATGTGGGGTTCCCGCTCCCTTCCCGACAGCATCCCTGCCCCTTCCCCATCTGGCCCGACACATGTGCCACCGCCCTAACTTGTCTTTCTGTTCCCCTTCCCTTTCTTCCGGGACAGTGAGGAGGTGAGTACCTGGGCAGGGGGGTGCAAGAATCGTGGAGGGGTACCCTTGCAACACACACACACTCACTGGGGCCTGGGTCAGAGTTCCAAGGTGGCCTGGAGGCCGTGTCCCATGCACCCAGACACAGTTGAGAGGGGAAGTGGGTGCCCAGAGCCAGGGGATGTGAAGACACGGCCTGGTCACAGGAGTGGGTGGGGAGACCATTGCCTCCTCCTGATCCTGCACGGCTCTGCTACCCCCAGCCCAGTGTCACCACCACGTGCACACAGGGACCCTGGGCCGGAAGGGCACAGGGACCCCAAGGCCTGACCCCGACCCCCACTCTCCCCCGCAGAAACGCAACAGGGCCATTACGGCCCGGAGGCAGCACCTGAAGGTAAGGTGGGTTTCCAGGGTGAGGGCGTGGGGGCCCCTAGGAGCCTGGGGTCTGCGACGCTCATGCCGCGCCACCCCGTGCAGAGCGTAATGCTGCAGATTGCGGCCACGGAGCTGGAGAAGGAGGAGAGCCGGCGGGAGACGGAGAAACAGAACTACCTGGCAGAGCACTGCCCCCCACTCAGCCTGCCCGGCTCCATGGCCGAGGTGCAGGTACGGAGCCGGTGGGGCGGCGGGCAGCTGGGTGGCAGGCCGGCAGCGGGCCCAGCGCGGGGCCAGCCAGCCACCCACCCACCCATGGCCGCCTGCAGGAGCTGTGCAAACAACTGCACGCCAAGATCGACGCGGCCGAGGAGGAGAAGTATGACATGGAGATCAGAGTGCAGAAGAGCAGCAAGGAGGTACGGAGGGGGCGCCGGGGGCACGCAGGGGAGGCGGGGAGGGCTGCCTGACCTGGCCTCACCGCCCACAGCTGGAGGACATGAACCAGAAGCTCTTCGACCTGAGGGGCAAGTTCAAGCGGCCCCCACTGCGGCGTGTCCGCATGTCCGCAGACGCCATGCTCAAGGCCCTGCTGGGCTCCAAGCACAAGGTGTGCATGGACCTGCGGGCCAACCTGAAGCAGGTGAAGAAGGAGGACACGGAGAAGGTGAGTGGGCACCTCGAGGGACCCGGAGGGGCAGCACGGGGCCGGGGCCTGGGTCCTGAGCCCTCTCCTGCCCCACAGGAGCGTGACCTGCGTGACGTGGGTGACTGGAGGAAGAACATCGAGGAGAAGTCGGGCATGGAGGGCCGCAAGAAGATGTTCGAATCTGAGTCCTAGGCCGCCCGGGGAGGGGGCTCCCGGGGTGCGGGCCCGGCAGCGGATCAGCCTCAGCTCAGTGCTCAATAAACCTCTCCCAGTGCCAGCCCGTGTCTGCTCTGCTTCTGCCCCGGCCTGTGCCTTGCTCGCCCTGCAGCCACTCGCACCCCCACCCCCTTGCTGGGCTGGGGCCTTGCAACCAGCCACGCCCACTCCGGTCGGGATGCTGGGGGAGCCGGGGCCTGGGTGGACGGGTGTACCGGCTCCTGGGTCTGGGCCCAGCAGGGGCCAGAGGCCTGGTTTGTGACGTGGTTCCCAAGCTAGCTGTGGGCACCCCAACATCACAGGAGGGGAGTCAGGTGCATGTGTCAGGAGGGGTCCCTGGCACGAATGCATCTATCCTTTCGTTGGTCGTTCGACGTCCCATGTGGGGCCGCAGAGACCCCCTCCTCTCAGCCCTTGCGCCCTGGAGGCCCCGTGTGTGACATGCTGGGTGCAGGGTTCTGGTGCTGGAAGGGCAGCCATGGCCACCTCCAGGGCCAGCCCTGCCCGACCAGCTTCCTGCTACCTCCACTGGCCTCTTCAGCCAGGTCAGCGGGAAGCCAGGCCGTGAAGTACAGCCCTCAGTGTGGGGACCCTGCAGGGCACTGAGGTGGGATGGCCGTGGAAGCTTGGGTTGTCCCAGGTGGGCAAATGGAGAGCCACGTGGGTAGCTCCCGGTGCTGACCCAGCCACAGGGCAGAGGGGGCTAGGTGAGAGCTGGATTCTGCTTTAAATGTCTGGTGACAGGAGGCATCACAGTGGGTCTGGGGGTGATGGCGGCACCTCCCTGTGCACGGGTGAGCCAATGAAGTGCAAGAGGCTGACTCCCACCCACCCGACCCCTGCCACTGCTAGGACTCAGATCTGAGTGGGGCAGGACACGCCGGATGTCCAGCCCCGGGGCATAGCCGCTGGGGTGCACTTGTGTGGGGGGATGGGGGGGGCTGCAGCCATGCGAGCTCCAGGTGAGGAGGAGGGGGAAGCCCCCAGACCCTGCTCTGGAGGTCAAGGCGCAGGTGGACAAGGCCGGCAAGTGCAGGCTGCTCACGTGCTTCCTGGCGTGGTGCTCTCCCACGCGGGCTCCGTCTCAGCCTCCACCCCTTGTCCCCTGCCCAAAGGCCCAGGGCTCCTGCAGGGCTGCCAGGAAGTGCCCAGAGGGGCCTAGAGTGTCCCAACCCTCCAGGAAATGGACAGCGGCCAGGGCAGGAGCAGAAGAAAGCAAGGAAGTTGGGGGGGGGCGGGAGGAAGCGTGTATTGGGAGGAAGCTGTCATTGAGAGAGTGAGAGAGAGCGCGCCTCAGGAAGATGGAGGTGAGGGGCACAGCAGGTGGCCGCGGCAACAACTTCCACGGTTTCATCCTGCACTTCCGTCTTCCATAAACTTGAGACCGTTTACCAAAAAGCTGGACTCATTCCTCTCTGCAAAATAGTTCAAAACAAAAATCTCATGTGATAATGAAAATAAAATAAAAACAAAAGCAACCAAACACAATGGACAAGTCTTCAGAAGACGTGAGGAGGGCCACGGGGAGAAGGGGGCCCGGGACGGGCAGAGCGTCCACTCCTGTGCCTTGGCCACCCTGTCCGCTGTTCCCCAGGCCTGCATCTAAGCTGTCACCCGCTCCTCGGCCTGGTCCTCCCAGCCACACCGTGGGCTCGGAGCCTGGTGTGTAAGCCAGAACCCGAGGACCACCGCTCCTGCCCACTGTGCCCTGCCCGTGCCTAGCCTCCCAGGACTGCTGGCACGCCTCTGCCCCAGCCCAGAGGTTCCTCCCTGGCACCTCGTCCTCACCTACGGGTCCCAATACAGGCAGCTCATTTGAGGTCATTCTCTGGGCTGCACCCAAGGGCATCCCACGTGAGCAGCAGGTGAACCATGCGAGTGAGGACCACATGGTGTCAGACATCCCCACGTGGTCTACGTAAGTGGCAGGTAGCTGTGTGCCCTGGACCTTGTCACTGCCAGGACCCAGCGGTCAGTGTGAGGCCCTCAGGGCAGCCTGGACCCTGCATATCCATGGTCCAGCCCTGTGGGACACCCCAGCCACCACCTACCCTCTGGCCCCACTCGTCTAGGCCAGCTCCTTGGCCCCCAGACCCCGGCCTCTCCCCTCACACAGAGCCTCCCCTCAGTCCTGGGCAGCTTGGCCTCAGGACGGCAGTGGCCCTGCCCCAGTCCCTCCAGAGCCTTCAGGTCAGCTTCAGGATCCCACTCCACGCGCCCAGCGGGAGCCCTCCCCCATAGCCAACAGGCTGTGTGTGCGTGAGAGTGTGTGGCTGTATTGTCTGAGTGAGTGAACAGGTGTAGGAGGGACTGGGCGTCTAAATGGGTGTGTTGACGGTTGTGTACGGGTGAGTGTGTGTGTACAGGTGTGACCGTGTATATGGACGAGTGTGTGTAAGGTGAGTGTGCGTGGGTCTGTACAGGTGTGTCTGAATAAGTGTGTACAGGTGTCTATGGGTGAGTGTGTGGGGTGTGGCTAAGTGGTGTGGGTGTACCAGGTGAGTGTGTGAGTGTGTGTGGGTGTGTGTGTGCGTGTGAACGCGCACAGTGTGTGGCTGTGCGTGGAGGTGCCCTGTGAACTCCGGCTGTGGGGGTCTCTTTTTGGAGCCTTCTCCTCCTCCCCTGGGAAGAGCTGTGTGCCCTGTGTGCCATGGAGCCCAGCAGTCCAGGCCCGTACACAGCAGCTGCTGGGGCCTAGCTGGGCCTAGCTGGTGGCCCTAACAGCCCTGGGTCCACTCCACGCACTGAGAGCTTACTGAGCGGGGGCAATCTCTCATGCAGCGGGCAGACAGAGAGGAGGCAGCGCCCAACAGCTGGAACAGGACACAGGGACGGAAGGGGGCGGCTTGTGGCCAGCGCTGTGACACAGCAGGTAAAGTCATGGTCTGGGTGCCGGCCACACATGGGGCGACGGGCGGAGTCCCAGTTGTTCCACTTCCAATGCTGCTGTGCCTGGAAGAGCAACAGAGGATGACCCGAGTCCCTGGGTCCCTACACCCACAGGGGAGACCTGGAAGAAGCTCCTGGCTTCAACCGGCTCTGCCCTGGCTGCTGCAGCCATTTGGAGAGTGAACCAACAGATGGAAGATCTTTCTTTCCCTGTAACTCTTTCAATAAATACGTTTATTTTTCCGTGCAAGGAGGCTGAAGCCTGCTGGAGGTTGGCCCCTGGTACCAGGGAAAACAAACCACTCCCTGTGGTGGCTCCAAGTTCTGCTGGGGACCCTAAAGGGAAGTGGGGTGTCAGGGCTGGGCTGCAGAGCCGTGAGATGCCGCCTGGCCCCACCCCGGCCGCCTCGGGGGGGGGGCCCCTGCCACTTGCTTCACACTTCCTGGCCGCGGTTTGGTCTCTCGACTTCTTCTTCTTTTTTTTTTTTTTTTGCAGTGACATATTACTATAAACCAACAACCCCACCCCCACCCCACCTCACCGCCCTGACACCCCAAACTCCAACCTGCAGCCCGGAAGGCGGAAGTGAAACCCAGCTCGGGGGCGTCCAGGGGCCCTGCATAGCAGGAAGCGCCCAGAGCCAGTGTTGCAGACCCAGCACCCCGCAGCCATGGCAGAGGCACCCAGCACCCCGGGCTCTGAGGAGGACAGAGCAGGGTAAGGGCTCCCTGAGGACTCCCCCAGAACCCTTCTTGCTCCTCAGGGGATGTGCGCTTCTGTGGCCTCCCCCTGAGGACGGCTGAGCACCCCCTGCTCCCCCCGAAAGCTTGTGGGATCCAGGAAGGCGAGGCAGGGACAGTGGGGTGGGCATCGGATGCATAAGGCATGCTGGAGAGCAGGCAGGGGAGTGGACCTTGGACAGGAAGAGCCCATCCTGCTTCGAGCCCTCGAAGGTATCCTGGCCCTGCGGGCAGGGACCCCTCCCAGTAGCCATCCATGACAGTGGGGGTGCAGTGCCTCGAGAGCCCAGCTGGCTGCTGGCTGGGTGAGACCGTGGGCAGAGGGCCCCAGGCCTGCACGTACACTCATGGCAGCTGAGTGCCCACCCTGGTGGTGCCAGGGTCCTTGCGGGGGCCTGGGTATGCTGAAGGGAGGAGGCTGGGCCCAGGCCGGGGGAGGCTGAGGTGCCCGCCTGCACTCACAGCAGGGCCCAGGCTTGTGACAATAAGAGGGAGGAGGTATTGTGGACAGAGGCCTGTGAGCAGTGCCTGCCATGCTGAGTCGGGCACAGGCAGCCCTAGCTGTGGCGGTCACACCGCCTGTCCTTCGGAGGAGGGGTGAGGCTCCAAGGGGCGGGTGGACGTGCAGTGTGCGTGGCTTCAGAATACACTGGCCAGGCCGTGTTGTCTCTTGGCCCCGGAGCCGCCTGGTGGAGGGCAACAGCTGCGTCCGGGGTCAGCCAGGCTCCTTGCGTCCGCACAGCTCTCTGCTCCTTGTGGCTACCTCATGCCCTTAGATGGGCACAGAGGAGAGTCCTGGCTGGGACTCTTGCCCCCACCTTGCCCTCCTCCTTGGCCACTCCCCCACCCCCACCCCGCTGCAGCTGCCACTTTGGCGGTTGAGTTCCTCCTCAAGTGTCCTCCAGCAGAGTGGGCGCCCAGGGCTGCACCTGTGCCGGGTCTGCGGCCTGCAGAGCCCCCTACAGATGCCCTCAGGCACGCACAGCACAGAACCGAGACCGGGCAGGGGTGGGATTCTGTACTGCAAGCTGAGGGAGGAACCGATGGCTTCCCGGGCAGGGCGTTGTGCCTTCTGGGAAGCCCCAACCTGGGAGATCCGGGAAAGGTCACAGCCAGGCAGGGTCGGTGGGCACCTAGAAGAAACAGATTGGGAATGCCCACACCCCTCCTGCCCGCCCCTGCCTGCAGACACGCCCTACACCCTGGGCCCAGGCTGGGCCGAGACCTCCAAATCAGGGGTGCCTCTGGGGAGGGCCCTGGCTGCCCTGGCTGTCCTGGCCACTCGGGGCGCTATCTCCTAGCCCAGCTTCCCAGAAGCCAGGTCAATGGTCCCTGCGGGCTGCTGCCTGCCCGGAGCACTGTCCTCAATGCTCACACCCCTCCAGGCGCCCCCTGCAGGTAGGGCCTCTGTTCCTCCTCGTGGCTTCTGGTGCTGGCCGCGGGCACCCACCCATGCCTTGGGCAGGTGCCTTCCTGGGCCGTTTGTCACGACCCTCTGAGCTACAAGAAGGAGAGGAGGTCGCCAGGGGGCCCCAGCACAGTCCCACCCCGATCCCATGATGCCACCTGAGAGCTGTGGCAGGCCAGGCCCAGACCCCAGCCCCTGGCCCTCGGCCCAGGCTAGGTTACTCAGAGCGGAAGGACTGGGAGCCGAGACCCGGGACCACCCTCCCCTCCAATCACCAGCCTTGCCCAGCACCCAGAGCATACAGGAGCTGCAGTGAAGCGCTCGTCAGGGCCCAGGGGTTTCCTCCCTCAGCAGACTTGGGTATTCCCACCACGCCTGGGCTAACCCCACTTGCCCAGCGCCCCCACAGGCCTCCATCCCAGCCGCACTGGGTGCTGGAAATTTTCCCCTTCTCGTCCCGACGCCCCCACCGGCACTCCTGAGCTGCCTCAGGGCAGTGCTAGGAGGGTCTCTGGTGAGGACAGACCAGTGCCCAGGCAGAGTGGGCAGCACGTGGCTACAGAGCCCCCGGGCCCTGCCCACCTCATTTGCTCTCAGCTTCAGGGGGGCTGCCTGCCAGGGCAGCCCAGAGGCCCCGTTTTCCCATGTGCAGCCCTAACTCCCCCACCCCCACCCCGGCTCGTGCGGCCAGTGCTGGTGTGTACGGAGCATGCCCACTGCCAGCCAGCAGCCACACCAGAACTCAACTGGTCAGTGCTGGCTGCTTTTCTGCACTTTCTAGAAGGAAGCCTTCAGCCTCTCCCCAGCCCACCCACCCTTGATCCCAGACCCCATTTTTGTGCCTTGGGGACTCCCAGGGGACCCCTGGAGGACAGGACCCTGAGACCACCAAGCAAGCAGCAGAGTGGCTCCTGAGAACGGCTGAAACAGAGCCAGGCCTGGGCCCCAGGGACCTGGGGAGGGGAGGGCAAGCCTGCCTCCTCCAACTCTCCCAGGAATTGATGGAAGCAGGCCTCCCAGCCCTGCCCTGGCAACACAGTCTGGCCGGTGCCAGACACCGACAGATAAGAGGGTCTGAAGGGAAGCTTCCCTGAGGCCTGGCTGGCTCTGCCCATCCCCCGAGGTTGAAAGGTGCAGGCCAAGGGCCCTTCCTGGGCCTAGGGAAGCAGGCGTGGCCTCTGCCACGACACCGCACAGAGCCACCATCTCCCCCAGAGGGACAGCTGTGTGTGCGGTGCGTACGGCGTCAGCCCCCATAGCTGCTCAGCCGACCTGCTGTCCCAGGGCTCAGCAGCCTGGGGTCCTGGGGGCAGAGGGAGGCTGGCCTATTTAGACACGTGTGCGTGCACAAATACACCACACAGCGGGAGGAGTGTGTGTGTGGCCACTGGGTGGGGAGGGGCGCACCCAAGTTCTCTCTCGGTGCTGCAGCTTCCCCTGCTGCCACATGGGCCAACAGTTGGATGCGGGACCCCACCCCCACTCCAACCAAGAAGACCCCCTCGCAGCAGTCTCTAGGCCCTCTTTCTTGGGCTCCACAAATCTCAATGATGTGGGTTCAGAGCTAAGCCAAGCCTGCCGCCCCCACCTCTCCCAGATACCGTCCACTGAAAACAATAGATTGGAGACAGACAAGGCTGGGAAGTCTGTTCCTTCTGCTTTTCTCCGCACTCCCAGTCAGTGCCCAGGCGTGACCTCCAACCACTACCCTGATCCGGTCTCGGTTTGTCAGAGGTGCTTGCTTGGCCAGGGAGACACAGGAGACCACTGAGCGCCCGCAGCTTGTGGAGCCACCTTCCCGACACTTCCTATGGCTCCATCAGGAACCCCCAAGAGCACCAGTGCTGGTATCCCCTCCAATCATGCGTCCCCATGGCTTGCTGTGCCAGTGACCGCGTGTGGATAAGGCTGGGATGGACAGGGGCTCATGACTGTGCGTCCAAGCACTATTGGCCATCGCTCTAGGCATTGCTTACATTCTACCATGACACTCAGCCCCCGAGCCATGGACAGAGAGCAAAGAGGGAAGGAGGGGCCGTGAGCTTATGCGCTGTATCTTAGGCACAGATGGAGAAAGTATAAGTCAACAGAAAGACAGATAAAGAAAAGCAGGTAGGAACTGCTGAAGGATGCGAGAGTGGGTCGTTGGATAGATAAATGAATGTTTGCATGGGCCGACAGATGAATGGATGGCTGGATGGACTGGCGATGGGTATGTGGAAGGAGGGACAGAGGGACGGGCATTTGGGTGGGTGGCTAGACAGACAGATGTATGAGCAAATGGAAAACAGATGGACTTACACAAGCATGACTGGCCCGTCCCTTGGCTGGGTGGGTGGACGAATGGAGGGATGGGTCAGGGAACGATGGCTGGACGGCTGGATGTGCGTGTCAATGAACAGACATGGGGGACGCAGGGCGGACATGAGGATAGGCAGGTTAATGAACAGGTGAGTGGATGGGTGAGTGGATGGGTGAGTGCAGAGACACATGTTGGGATGGATAGACTAAAGGATATGTGGTTGATGGATGAAGGGAAGAGATGAATGGATGGCTGACGCTTCGATGGGCGGCTGATTGGATGCACCAAGTTCCCTGTGAAGAGTTAAACGCAGGAGTGGGAGGATGGGTGAACTGACGGGTGTGTGGCCAAGCGGCTGGAAGGATGAGCGATACACAGCTGCTGCGTGTGTGCTCGCACAGGAGGGCTGGCTGTGTGGGTGGGTGGCCACAGAACAGACAAAGCAGAGTGTGTATGTGTGTTCCATTGCAAGGGTGGACACAGATGGGATACCAAAACGATGCATATGGCACAGAAAAGATGGTGGCTTTGATCAGCGCAACAGAGAATTGCATCCATGTCTGCAACTGCGCTGTCCCTGTCTATACAGCAGCTAAGGACAAGCCCCCAAAGCCGAGTGAGCACAGAGTACACGACAGAAGCACACGGGCACATGTGCGGGCTGTGGACACAGGACCCCTTACCAGAATGACAGCAAAGAAAGATGGACATGGGGCACCCACGGGTGGGCTGCAGCCGGGCAGATGGACGAAGGGGTGAAATAGCAAGAGATGCGTGGGGAAAAAATCAGTGGATATTTAATGAATCAATAGATAGATTAATGGGTGTTGAATGAGCACCTGAAAAAGTAGGTGGGCAAACTGACACCCCTAAATTAAGACACCCCTAAATTAAGGGCCTCGCTCTACCTCTCTCTACTGCCCCTCTCCCCTCTCTTTCTCTCATCTATCAAATCTGTCCGGAAATGGCTACATTCATTGCTTCCAGGGCTGTCACATAGCAAGCCTGAAAGCGTCTGCTCTGACGCGAGCCTATGGAATAGACATGTGGACAGACGTCAACAAGGAGACCAGTGGCCGAGTGACTTGCTGGATGAGTGAATGAATGGACAGAGGACAACCCGTGCTGGTGGTGTCCCCGGAACTGCTAAAGCTCACATGGATGACTCTGGCCAAGCTGATGGCCAACTGTGTGGTTACGGGTGAAGCACAGGTGTGGTGGGCAGCTGGCTGGCTGGGTGCGTGGCTGCATGGACAGCCGTGCGGAC